ACGTCATCCTAGGATGGGATTTTCTCTCCCGCCACGACGCCGTCATTCATTGCGCACCAGCAGAAATAGAACTCGCGCCATTCTCTTCTTTGACGCCGGCCGACAGTCCATCCGCTGCAAGCAAGTTACTCGTCAGAGACTACACTCAAGTGCCTGCAAACTCGTCCGTTGCGGTGTCGCTCTACTGCGCAAGCCTTTCTGACACCGCTGCACTCCTCTCGCCATCTCATCGTGTTTTCATAAGAAAAAGCTTGCTGGTTCCTTTCACGACCGTGCGACTCACTCACGGCAGCACCACTATTTTTGTTGTGAACTCATCTCCGTACAGCGTTACGTTGATGCGAGGAGAATGTCTCGGCAGCGTGGAACCCATCGAAGACGCGCAAGTTATGGATCAACCCGATGACATTCACTGCCCAAGTTCCTGTACGCTTGGTGCTGTTTCGACTTCTGCTTCATCATCCGGTGATATATTCGGTCCCTGCATACCCGACGACCTTACGCAGGGCCAGCGTTTCCAGCTTTTGGGCCTGTTGCAAGAATTCCGCTCTTCTTTCGATGTCGCTCAACCTTCTCTCGGCCGCACATCCACCGTTACGCATCGCATCGACACAGGCACACAGCCACCGCTGCGGCAACGTCCATATCGCGTATCTCCCACAGAACGCCGTGTAATCAACGAGCAAGTCGACGACATGCTTCGCCGAGATGTTTTTCGCCCCTCTAGCAGCCCCTGGGCATCTCCTGTCGTTCTCGTCACGAAGAAGGACGGTTCTGTGCGGTTCTGTGTGGACTACCGACGCCTCAACAAGATCACTCGTAAGGACGTGTATCCACTACCGCGGGTAGATGACGCGATTGACAGCCTGCAAGGAGCAGAATTCTTTTCATCCCTCGATTTGCGCTCAGGGTACTGGCAAGTACCTATGGCTGAGGACGCTCGACCGAAGACCGCTTTCGTCACTCCCAACGGCTTGTACGAATTCAACATCATGCCGTTTGGGCTGTGCAATGTGTCCGCCAGCTTTGAGCGCATGATGGATACCGTTCTGCGTCACCTGAAAAGGCACACGTGCCTGTGCTACCTCGATGACGTCGTTGTTTTCACTCCGGACTTCTCCACGCATCTTCAGCGCCTACGGCATGTTTTAACGTCTGAGTGACGCCAGTCGGCAACTGAACCTAAAGAAGTGCCGATTTTTAGCTCGGCAGTTGACAATACTCGGCTACGTCGTGTCCAAGGACAGATTTCTCCCCGATCCAGCCAAGCTTCGGGCCGTGACCGAGTTCCCCAAACCGACATCCGTCAAGGAACTGCGCAGTTTCATAGGGCTATGTTCCTACATTCCGCGCTTCATCCGAAACTTCGCGTCTATCGTATCGCCGCTGACAAAGCTCCTCGGTAGTAACGGGCCTCTCCATTCGTGGTCATCAGAGTGTGACGACGCATTCACAACGCTCCGTCGTTTGTTGACGTCGCCTCCCATACTCCGCCACTAAGACCCTACTGCCCCTACAGAGGTACACACGGCCGCCAGTGGTGTCGGTCTCGGCGCTGTCCTTGCGCAGCGCAAACCAGGGTTCCCGGAATATTGCGTGGCGTATGCAAGCCGTACGCTTACAAAAGCCGAGACTAATTACACCGTCACTGAGAAAGAACGTCTGGCAATCGTCTGGGCCCTTACCAAGTTCCGACCTTATTTATATGGTCGCCCTTATGATGTAGTCACCGACCATCACGCACTATGCTGGTTGTCATCATTGAAAGATCCCTCAGGCCGTCTCGCCCGGTGGGCACTTCGCCTGCAAGACTATGACATCCGCGTGCTGTACCGCAATGGAAGGCAACGTGCTGACGCCGACGCCCTGTCGCGCTCTCCCTTGCCTGACAATGCCAACAACTCAGTGTCTCACCTTGCCATTTCTTCGATTAGCATTCATGCTATTGCTACTGAACAGCGCAAGGATCAATGGATTGCCTCACTGATAGACTTGCCGACTGATCCATCCACTCCATCCACTCGCGCGTTGCGTCGTCAAGCCCACCATTTCGCCGTTCGCGACGACCTCCTGCATCGACGCAATTACAACGGTGACGGCCGCCAGTGGCTACTAGTCATACCTCGCAGTCTGCGCTCTGACATATGCGAATTCTTTCATTTTGATCCGCAATGTGCGCACTCCGGGGTATCGAAGACTTACCACCGCATTTGACAACGGTACTTTTGGCGCGGCATGTACCGCTACGTGCAGAAATTCGTTCGCTCCTGCATAGAATGTCAGCGCCGCAAAACTTCAACGCACCTGTCGCCGGTAGGTCTGCAACCTCTACCTTGCCCTGCCAGGCCGTTTGGGCGCGTTGGCATCGATTTGTATGGGCCACTTGCACTAACGTCGGCTGGTAACCGCTGGGCCATTGTTGCTTTGGACCACCTCACGCGATACACCGAAACGGCCGCTCTTCCCGCGGCTACAGCGAGCGATGTGGCTTCCTTTCTGCTCCAACGATTCATTCTGCGACACGGCCCACCCCAGGAACTGCTCAGTGACCGAGGCCGTGTCTTCCTGTCTGAAGTCGTTCAAGCCATTCTCAAAGAGTGCAACGTTGTTCACCGCAAAACTGCTGCTTACCACCCGCAGACAAATGGCCTCACCGAACGCTTCAACCGTACGCTCGGCGACATGCTCTCCAAATACGTCGCCTCCGATCACACAAATTGAGATTCCATTCTACCCTTCGTCACCTACGCATATAATACCGCCCCTCAGAGCACTACTGGCTTCTCACCTTTCTTTTTATTATATGGAAGGCACCCGTCACACACCATCGACACGATACTTCCGTACAGGCCAGATCCGTCTGAGTGGGCACCCATTTCTGCTACAGCCAAGCTTGCTGAAGAATGTCGAGAGCTTGCAAAGACCTTTACTGCGCATGATCAAGAGCGGCAAAAAAGCATTCGCGCTGACGCCAGTACTACTGCACCCACATTCCTCCCTGGAGCGCTCGTCTGGCTCTCGATCCCTACTACTGCAACTGGCCTATCTGCAAAACTATTGCCTAAATACGAAGGCCCCTACCGTGTCGTCAAATGCACTTCCCCAGTCAACTACTTGATTGAACCGATCGAACAATCTTCGGACATGCGTCGTCGAGGACGCGACATTGTTAACGTGGAGCGCCTCAAGGCCTACCATGACCCGCTCATTGTAACCAGCTGTTAGGTCGCCAAGCGGCTCCCTTTTCGTACCCGGGGTAGTTGTGGTAAAGCCTTTGAACAGTGGGTCCTCCTCTTCAGCGCCCTCTAGTGGGTCGCCTTTTTCTTAAGAAGAAGAGCAGCTCGTGCAGGGAGTCGATCCCCGCATTGACTATCACTGTCGTGAATCATCGCTGAGTGTCCGTCAATAAACCGCTTAACAATATATATATATATATATATATATATATATATATATATATATATATATATATATATATATATATATATATAAATATATATATATATATATTGTCTGCTGTCAGCACAAGCCGACAAGTGGACCCTCTGCGGGAAGCCAACGGTACGTGTCTTCGTGGTTCGTCGGCAGTGCGGGCTTCACCATCCAGGAACGCTGTTCACGCTTCTTTGGCGATGGAGTCAACAACCCGGCCGCCGCTTCAGCTGCCCATCGGACCATCACTGGACGGCGTCCGTGTCTCCTCCGTGGTACAGGGGCATCACCCAATGGACACTATGCCACCACTTCGCGGCCGTAATATGCACAGGCTCCCTTCCTTTGGGAATGCTGTTCAAGATCCCATGGCCTGCGTTCCCTATCCAGTACTCTTTCAACATACGAGCCGTCAAGAAACGCTATTCATGCTTCCTTGGACGTGCGTGTCACCGCCGTGAGTACTACTAGAACCACGTACATCACGGACGTGAATTAAAGCGGTTCAGAAGCCATGTGCAACAGTGCCGTGGAGCTGCGGCGTACCATCGCACTGCTACGCGCCGAGACTAACAAACTCACAGCGTTGATCGCCGAGCAAGCTCCTACAATGTTGCCAGCATTGTGTGACATTAACACAGTGTTGGATGTAGGTGCCTCATACGAACTTGACGCAAGCACACCGGAGCAATGCAGGGAGCTTCGGTCTTCTCTGATCGAGCTCTCACACCAGCTCGACTGCTTCGCGTCGGTGATCTCTGCGTTGCCACCTGCCACCTCAAAATCACCAGCCATCTGCGAACTACCGGAATGCGACGTGGTCCGGAACGACGCCGACAGCTGGGTGGCAACCGTCAACGCCATAGCAATGAGTGAGGCCTGGACGGAATCTCAGAAATGGACCGTGGCTATAGACCGTCTTCGGAAAGGTGCAGCGGCGTGGCACCGGTATGAGGACTTCAAGCAGCAGTCCTGGGTGGAGTGGTGCTCCAAGCTGATAGCTGCCTTCGGCCGGACACTCTCCCATCTCCCTTCCACCACCCAGTCCAACCTGCCTGGTTCCGAGGATGTTGTCCAAAAAGGGTTTCATCTCGAGGCTCCTGCTGAGCACTCCCGTTCTCCACAAAAGCTTCCAGACTCGTCGATGGTACCGAACCCAGATTGGTGTTAGCCATCGGCCACCTCGTTCTCTTTCGTGGGGGGAGATACAGAGGGGCACAGGGTAGCTGGACCCTTCGTCAACGCGCCCACTACCATATATCGAGCTGAAGTGGGGCGGCAGCTCGATGTCTCATCGCAGTCATCCAGTCTGACAACAGGCAAGAAGACCACCCTCGAGCCTCAGCAATGGGCATCGCAGCCTGTCCAGAACGCCGAAGGCAATGAAGACCAGCGCCCCAAACTGTACCAACGGAATTGCCTGCTAAGCGTGCTGCGACTGCTACGAAATAGCCATCATCACCGACCAGAGTGTTCGACAGCCCCGCAAGGCGAGTCATTGCGTCCACGAAAGGGACCCCACAGACGCAGCCAATACGATGACAGCGTCACACAATGTCCTGTCTCAGATGGCCGAGACCAACCACAACGATGCAGCCAGTCTCGGCCTCCCGATAGTCTTGTGGCAGACTCCGGCACCCAGCTCCCGCGTGGCCGATGCCGACTTCCAAGATGCAGCCAGTATCGACCACCAGATCTACTTCTGGCAGATACTGGGACCAAATCGCGGCATGGCCGAGAGCGTCAGCTGCAACGCGGCAGCCAGTGCCAGCCACTGGAGTCCACAGCACTTTTTCCAGAGACATCGTGGCGTGCAAAGGAGCGACCAGCTCGAGGCAGCCAGTGCTGTCCACCAGAGACGCGTCCCCCAGACCATCGCTCCATGCTGCATTGTGGTCCGGGCTGACCACCACGATGCAGCCCAGCCCGCCCACCAGAAACTTTGCCGCCAGCTACGCGCGCACGCAGTCATGGCCGAGTGTCATGACCAAGAAAGACGCTGGCGCTTCGGCGCGCGGGTAGATAGGGAAAAGAAGAGAATAACGAAGTCAGAATAAGAACAGCTGGCCCAGGATCGGGTGTTGTTTCTTGTTCTCTGTGTCGCTCCTCACAATATATACAGTGTGATGAGCGAGACAGAAAACAAGAGAAAACACCCGATCCTGGGCCAGCTGTTCTTGTTTGTTTATTTGTTTGTTTGTTTGTTTGTTTGTTTGTATCCTCTAATCCATGACTCGTACCCACTCCTGGGGTATTGGCCAACAGAACATATAGTCTCATATGAGCGATAACTGCATTATTGCTTACAACGCTTATTCTGACTTCTTCTTCTTCCTCTACCTCCTCTTAGCTGCCCATGCGCCCCAGCCCCAGCGTCTTCCTTCGTCTTGACACTCGGCCATGACTGCGCGCACGCGGAGCTGGCGGCAAAGTTTCTGCTGGGTGGGCTTGGCTGCATCGTGGTGGTCGTCCCGAACCACAATGTAACATGGAGGGACGGTCTAGGGGAAGAGTCTCTGGTGGACGACACTGGCTGCCTCGAGCCGGTCGGTCAACGCCACGGTGCGCCTCTGCTTGAAGCTCTGTCGGTGTGTACTCAGGTGGGTGGAGATGGCTTTGTCGCTGCCGTTGAACTCGTCCATGGTACAACGTTTCCTGACAACTCGTAGAATACCGCTCAGGCGGATGGCCCTTACTGTTCCTGCAAGGTCAGCAGAGTAACCTGGAAATTCTGGTGTTTGTCCCACCGCCGTTTGTGAAATGAACTGCAGCGGGACGCTCTGTGAGGCAGCCGTGTGGACGTTTGTGCCATTTCTCAAAATGAATTGCGCGCAGCTCATGGTTGGGCATCAATACCACAGCAGAACTCTCTGAAGGTTGTGCAGCTGGTGGATTCTGGCGAACTGTCGCGTGCAGACTTGGTGTCCTGGGAGGGAACAGCGCGAGGGCTGGTCCTCGACAAGTTCTCAATGGCAGTAGCCTCAGCCTGGCTAGGTGTCTGGCTTTTTTCAAAGGAAACATCCCTCGGGAACCAAGTATCTGCACGGCTGAGCGTATGTGCGTCTTCGAAAATGAATGTATGAGTCGTCTGCAAACATGGCTGTGTCAGGTTACGGCTGATCTTGTTCGCATCCTCGGAAAGGCCTGCTGTGTGAAGCGGTAAGGAGTGCATTTTGTTTGCGACGATCATGGTCTGTTGGGGTTCAGTTGTGTCTGGTACGGTAGATGTGAGCGCCTCCATGTCCTCAAACGACAACGAGCGCGAGGACAATATCTCCTGAGGAAGGCCTGGTGGTGGTATTCCCGGGTCTAATACCGATGCAGAGTTCACGACCTGCAAAGGAGGACTGTGGTCACTTTGGTCAGGGTCAGCAGCAGGAACCTCCTCGATATACTTCATTTCTCGAGAGGCGTCTTTTTGCAAGGCGCAAATGCTCTCATGTTCAGTTACTGAATTATTAAAAGCGTGCAGACCCGCTTCCGTCTGGTCAAGGTTGAGCATGGTGAAATTCACAGGCACGTGCGTTTGATGACGCCGTAGAATGTCCAGTAAGATGGAGGCTGGCGCCTCAGTGTCTACCGAATGGTCTGACGACTCCGGATGGCGTTCGGTGGGGCCTGTCGCAGGGCGGTTTGCAAAACTTGCCGTGAGAGACCTAACGGACACAAGCACACCATCGGGCCGCTGCTCCATGACAGCAGAAATGCCCGTGCAAGGCAGAGCTTCACGATCGTGATCGTTCCCTACATCTTGGTCACCGAGAGATGACAGGATGGTAGGGGCTTTAACCGCATCCTCTAGGTCGGGCTTTTCCCGAGTTCTGTCTTGAGAGAAGGTCGAGTTGCATGGACAGGTGGCACAGGGAATCGGGCCGAAAGCAGCTATGAGCTTGAAGCTCCATTCCGCTCATGACTGCTACTTCCAACTTTCATACCGGTGTCACGCCGCTGCACCTTCCCGAAGACGGTCTATAGCCACACACCATTTCTGATTTTCTGTCCAGGCCTCGCGCATTGCTATCGCGTTGACGGTTGCCATCCAGCTGTCGGCATCGTTCCGGACCCCATGTAACTACAGTAGTTCACAGACGGCTGGTGATTGAGCGATGGCAGGTGGCAACGCAGAGATCACCGACGCGAAGCAGTCGAGCTGGTGTGAGAGCTCGATCAGGGAAGACCGAAGCTACCTGCGTTGCTCCGGTGTGCTTGCCTCAAGGTCGTACGAGGCAGCTACATCCAACACTGTGTTAATGTCACGCAATGCTGGCAACATTGCAGGAGCTTGCTCTGCGATCAACGCTGTCAGTTCGTTAGTCTCGGCGCGGAGCAGTGCGATGGTACGCCGCTGCTCCACGGCACTGTCGCACGAGGCTTCTGAACCGCTTTGGTTCGCGTGCGTGAAGTACGTGGTTCCAGTAGTACTCACGGTGGTGACACGCAAGTCCAAGGAAGCATGAACAGCGTTTCTTGGCTGCTCATGTGTTGGAAGAGTTCTGGACAAGGAATGCAGGCCGTGGGAAGCTTGAACAGCATTCCCAAAGGACAGGAACCCTTGCGTATTACGGCCGCGAAGTGGTAGCATAGTGTCCATTGGGTGATGCCCTGGTACCACAGAGGAGGCATGGACATCGTCCACTGATGGTCTGATGGGCAGCTTAAGCGGCGGCCGGGTTGTTGACTCCATCGCCAAAGAAGCGTGAACGGCGTTCCTGGATGGAGAAGCCCGCACTGCCGACGAACCGCGAAGACACGTACCGGTGGCTTCCCGCAGAGAGTTCACTTGTCGGCTTGCGCTGACGGCCGCCGAGGATACCTTGACGCGGTCCCCAAACGGTGGTGGCAGTGGCGGCAGGTGAACAGCCGCCGAGGAGGCCTTGACGCTGTCCTCAAGCGGCGCTTATCGTGACTGTCCTGGATGACGAAGCCGGGATGTAAGCCTTCTTCTTCGTCGACTGCGCCATTGTGATGAGCGAGACAGAGAACAAGAGACAACACCCGATCCTGGGCCAGCTGTTCTTTTGTTTTGCTTTTGTATTGTTTCCCTGGGATGATGGCTCATACGCACACAGGGGGATTGGCCAAGAAAGTGTAGTGCAGTTTTTCTGTGATCATTTTAACTATGTGTAATGAATTGGTATTATAATAAGACTAATGTAAAAAAACAACATAAAATAGCAAGCAGAAAAATCAAGTTGAGCAATTTTGAGATTTTAGGTGTTATGATTACCACTCAGCTGCGTTTACTTCACTCTGCCCTGGGGAGTAATAAATAATTTTTTTTGATTGAAGATCACAAAGGTATACGCTTGGTTGCCTGAATATAATCGCAAATGGCATTGAAAGCATCCCTGTGGCAATGTCCCAAAACTGAGGCACCAAAGCGTAGCGCCGTTTCCGCCGTCAATCTAACGCCTATTTTCAGAAATGGCATAACTAGTAACCTTTTTCGAAGTATATCGTAGCGGCGACAATACGAAAAATAATGATCTAGTGATTCCATTTCTCCGCAGAATGCACAGAGGGGTGATGTTGTCTCACCAACTCTGTGTAGATACAGGTTTAGGTGGGGGGGGGGGTTACACCACATCAAATTTTAGTAATTAAGACTTCGAGCTTTCTGGACTGGCTCCAGTGGGGTTCCCATGGAAACATGAGGTGGTTATAGGCTGTCCATGTAGTTACTTTTTATATCGTATCAGTGGAGATTGCTGATTTTCGATATTTTATTGCCGTGATATATTCAACATCTGGCAAGATGGACAAAACTGGCCGATTAAGTGCGGCTCGTGCTAAGAAATCGGCCGATTCATTTAATCTTAATCCACAGTGTCCCGGAACCCATAGTAACCTCAGGAGTCTCAACTGCGGGGGTACTAATGTTTTGAATGTGCTTAGAATTTGTGAGTTCTCTGAAGCTGTCAGAGCTGCACAAACTGAAAGAGAATCCGTCATTATGACTGCGTTGTTTTGATTTGATGGAAGTTTTCGAAGAGCTAAAATAATCGCCACGAGCTCCGCTTCAAAAACTTGAGTAAAATCAGGCAGTCTCACTGAAAAGGACCAGTCAAGCGAATCAGAGGCAATGCCTACACCTGCCTTTTGAATATTTACGGAAGCATCTGTGGCTATTATATCTTTAGTTTCTGCATGCTCCAAGTAATCTAATAATATGTTATTTAAAATTTCGAGAGATTGTAATTTGGCGTTTTGGGGGAATATATCATAATACTCAATAATAACATGACAATTCGAGTCATTAGTCTCAATTACATTTCTAATGTTCACATTTATACGTTGTAAATTCTTTTGTACAAACATTATCAGAGGTGTGTGAAACCGTGGCCAATGAGCAAGAAAGAAGGCGTCTGTGTTTGCGATAAAAGCATATTGAGATCTTCTTGCCGGTGAGCTATAGAATTTTAAAAATGCTTGTACGGTCAAAATTTGAAATCGACAAAGTAGTGTAGGCATAACTGAATGCAGGAACAGCGCAACCTAGAAGTAGTTACTTCGTAACTATGGAAGCGAAAAAACAAGGACAGAAAGAGCGCTGACTCTTAACAAAGATTTAATGCCGGAGTGGTGTACATATATAGGAGAAAAATGAGAAAAATGGGCATGCGTAGAAGGGAGCAGGAACAACTACTGCGATACACTGTCAGCAAAACTCTTGTCTCTTGTTGAATGGGCTGAAAAAACAAATACATATGTAACTTAAAAAATATCGATCTTTTTTAAGTTACATATGTATTTGTTTTTTCAGCCCATTCAACAAGAGACAAGAGTTTTGCTGACATTGTGTCGCAGTAGTTGTTCCTGCACCCTTCTACGCATGCCTGTTTTTCTCATTTTTCCCCTATATATGTACACCACTCCGGCATTAAATCTTTGTTGAAAGTCAGCGCTCTTTTCTGTCCTTGTTTTTTCGCTTCCGTAGTTGTGAAGTAACTACTTCTAGGTTGCGCTGTTCCTGCATTCAGTTATGTCCTATCAACTTTCCCAAGCTTCCACGCTTCATAGTGTAGGCAGGCGCGCTTCCTGGTACAGTACGTTGATAGCCACAAATCTAGGGAGTCCCAGACACATTCGCAGTGCTTCTCGCTCCAAGACAACTAGAGGTTTCCTTTTATAAGCAGGGCCACCCGAGAATAATATGCAGCCGAATTCCATGATAGGGCGCATATAAACCTTGTACAACGTTATCAAGGTGTGCCTCCGTAACCCATATTTCCGGTTACTTAGCTTGTGTATTAAGCCTGAAGCCCGCTGTGCTTTGGTAGTAATACTCTATGTGTGGACTCCAGTTAAGTTTGTCATTATAAATGATTCCCAAATATTTTATAGAGTATACTTGCTGAATGGGTTCCTGTTTATATAGAATTGAAATTGAAATTGGTTCTGCAA